AAAAAAAAAAAAAAAAAAAAAAAAAAAAGGACAAAGAATGACGGGCAGAAACGTTTGGCAGTATAAATAGGTACAACTCGGAAACGGCATCCGCTCGCACGGACGGGACGGGACGGGGACGGCCGTCGGTGGGCACAGTCCTTCCACCCGCGGCCCTACGGACACACACGGACACAGCTGAGGGAAAATTTGGTCCTGAATTTCTGAGAGTCCAGCACGGCATTGAGTTGCGTTTGAATCCTTTAAAGAGTTAAGAGTGAAATAAAAAAAAAAAAAAAAAGAGCTGGTGATACTTTGTAGGAATCAAACAGAGCGCCATCTGTCCGCTTCGCATCTCCCTAACGCTACGTTCTGAAACTGTTCCACGGTCCGACAAAAAAAAACCTTAAAGACAGACAGGTAACATGCTCTATTAACCCACCATCGAGAGAATCCAACACCATCACGATTGCGAGGAAAAAAAAAAAAAAAAAAACTACTGCTTTTTTTTTTTTTTTTTTCCCTTTTTCCTCGTGTTTTCGGGCGCCGCGACGGCACCTCAGCCCCCGACGCGATCAGTGCGGGGAGGGCTCAGCCGATCCTCGTTTCCTTTCAAGCAGAGTTCGGGTCGCTCTTTCGCAGCGGAGGGCGAGGACGACCCCCGCGGGAGCTCCGCTCCCTCCTTCCGCGCCGCACCGCGGTCCCTCAGTCCGTCCTCGGGCGGTGGCACAGCGGTTGGCGGCGCTCCCGCGGTCCTCTCGGCCGCCGCCGGTTTCGGGCCGCCCCGCCTCAGTAGGTGAACACCAGGTTGGAGATGCTGGACTCCAGCCAATCCCCCGAGATCATCTCACTTACCTCCGGCGTGCAGTAGTCCGGGAACTCAAAGTGCGAGCCCGAGCCGGGCTCCAAGTTAAAATCCAGGTCCCGGTCGAGCGCGGAAGAGCCGAAGCCGCCCAGGGACATGCTCTCGAAGCCGGGGCTGGGGTTCAGGTCCAAGAGGTCGTCCTCGAACTCGTCGTCCGACGACGAAGAGCCGGCCGAGGAGGCGGAGGACGAGTGGGAGGACGCGGAGGAGGACCGCGCCGTGGAGGGGGCGGGCGAGGCGGCTCTCGGGGCGGCATAGCCGCGGTGCTCGGCGGGCGAGCGGGCGCCGGGCGGCGAGGGGCAGTCCCCGTCGGGCCGCGCCGCGCCGCCCGCCTCCTCGTAGAGGCTCAGCGGGTCGCCGGCCTCGGCCGCGCTACTCAGCGTGGGGCTGCCGGGCACGGCGCCGCCGGGCGAGCCCGAGGCGGCCGCCGCCGGCCCTCCGCCGCCGAAGATGTAGACGCGCTTCAGCTTCCTCTCGGCCGCCGCTTTGCCGGGCGCCGCCGGCGCGCCCCTCGGCTTGTACAGCGCCTGGTGCTCGGGCGGCGGCGGCGGCGGCGGAGGGGTGGGCGCGGCCGTCGGTTCGCCGGTTCCCGGCGGCGAGGCCTTGCCGCCCGCCGCCGCCTTGCCGTGGGGCTTGGTGCCGGCGGGGGAGGGCCGCGGACCGCCGCCACCGCCTCCCTTCTTCGGGGCGGGTTTGGCCGTGCCGCCGCCGGAGCCGCCGCCCGCGCTGCCCCCGCCGGGCCCGGCGCCGCCCCCGCCCCCGCCGGCGGCCCGGTCCGCCTTGTCTGCGGGCTTGGCGGAGCTGTTGCCCGACTTCACCTTCTTCCTGGGCCGGTACTTGTAGTCGGGGTAGTCCGCCATGTGCTTGAGGCGCAGCCGCTCCGCCTCCCGGATGAAGGGGATCTTGTCGCTGTCCTTGAGCAGCTTCCAGCGCTTGCCCAGCCGCTTGGAGATCTCGGCGTTGTGCATGTCGGGCGACTGCTCCATGATCTTCCGCCGTTCGATCTGCGACCACACCATGAAGGCGTTCATCGGTCGCTTGATGTGCCCGCTGGGCGTCTTGCACCAGCTCGGGTCGTCCGCCTTGCCGCCCGTCGAGGCGGTGGAGCCGGGCGTAGGCGACGAGGCGATGCCCAGCTCCAGCCCGACCCCGGCGGCCGAGGTCTCGGCGGCGGGCAGCGCCTCCGTATTCTCCGCCGTGCCCGTCTGCTGCACCATGGCTGCGGCCGCGGGGCTCGGCTCGGCGGCGCGGGGCTGCGGGGGGCTCCGGGCCGGCCCCGGGGCGGCTTCCACAACGGCACCCGGCCCCGGCCGCGCCGCGCTCCCGCTCCGCGCGGACTTGCTGCCGGAGCCGCGCCGCAACGTGGGGCTCTGCTTTTGTCCTTAAACTCTTTTTTTTGTTCTTTTTTTTTTTTTTTTTGGTTTTTTGCTTTTTGCTTGGGGTTTGTTTCAGGGGGCGCCGCTCCGCCTCGCTCTCCCCTCAACGCCGCGCCCCCTCAGGGCAGCCGCTCCGCTTCGTGCCCCGCCGGCCCCCGTCGCGCCGGCAGCCCCGGGCTGCGGGGGGGGGGGGGGGGGGGGGGGAGGCGGCCCCCGGCTGCGGGCCGCGTGGTGACGGCGCTCCGTGCGGCGGGGAGCCGTGCGGAGAAAGCGCCCGAAGAATCAAAAAAAAAAAAAAGAAAAAAAAAAAAGAAAAAGAAAAAAGAAAAAAATAAAAAGAAAAAAATAAAAGGAAAAAAAGGAAAAAAAAATAGGTAAAGCAATTAAAAATTCACGGCGGAAAAAGAAGCCAACAGCAACCCAAAAATTCACGGAAAAAAGACGATGCCGCAGAGCGCCCGTGCAGAGCGCGTCCGTCCCGCAGGCAGCGCGGGCTGAGCCCCGTCCCGCAGCGCGCAGAGCGCGCGGAGCCCGCGGAGCCGCCCCCCGCCGAGCCGCGCCGCGCGCACGCCGGGCGATGCCCGCGCCCCCCGCACGCCGCGCTCCTCCGGCAGCCGCTGAGAGCGGAGCCCGCGCCCGCCCCGCGCCGCTTTATCCTTTCGCAGCCCGCGCCGCGGCCAATCGCGCGCTGTATCCAACGCGTCCGCGTGCCAAGCGCCGCCCGCCGCTCTCCGATTGGCGGCCGCCGCGACGCGATAATAAGCGCCGCGTGCAATGAGAAGCGCCCGCGCTGACCTCATTCCCGGCGGCGGGGCGAACTCTGGGGAAGGGGCAGGAGGGCAGCGCCGCGCGCGCCGCCCCGCGCCCCGCCGCGCACGTGCCCGCGCCCCCGTCCCGCCCCGCGCGCCTCCCCCGACCAAAAGGGGCGGCGGTCGGAGAGCTGGTGCGAACGGAAGGCAGAGAACGCGGCGCAGTGTGCGAAATAACGCCGCGCGCTCGCTCAACGCACCGAGCGGCGCCGTGCCGCGCACCTGCACAAAGAACCGTGCGCTGCCGCGCGGCGGCCGCGAGAGCTCCGAGGGCCGACGCTCAGCGGTCACCTGCGCGGTCGCCGCCCGAAGGGGTACTGCCGCGTGTCCTCCTCCTGACTAAAACCTCGCCCCCTGCCCCGTGACGACGCCCTCTGACATCAGAGCAGCCCCGCAACTTCACGCTGTGTGGCCGCTCGGCCTCCCGCTACCCGCCCCCCCGGACCGACACCCGCACTACGCGGCACAGCTCCGGGGCGGGGCGGACCGGCAGCGCCCGCGGCGGTTCTACCGGTGCTCCCTGCACCGCAGCGTGCAGCGGCACGAACGCAGCCCGCAGCCCACCTGCGAGCGGGGCATCCAGGGGCACATTCGTAGGCAGCCCCCCCCCCCCCCCCTTGTTTGGCTTCTAAGTAGGAGTTTTCTTTCCAACTCTACAGCGTGTAAGATGTTCACACGTTAAGTTAAAAGGGAGCAAATAGCGAAAGCGATAGGCGGATATAGAAATAAAAAGCTCTGGAGAGCGTTCCCATTCCGTCGTGCTTCAGTGCAAAAAGCCCTGCCTTCCAGGAACACGTCTGTCCCCAGGTGAGCGGTCTCCTCGATGCAAGCGGCCACCCCCATCTGCTTCCAGCAGTGCATGGGCACAGCGTGCTGTTTCCCATATGAAAGCTTCCCACATTTGTAAAAGCGCAATTTAGAATTGCTTAATAAAGCAATTGCAGGAATATGATGTGAAACTCTGTAAAAGCGTTTTATTACAATTTCTTGGCTGCTTCCTCGAAGTTAATTGCTTCCACTCCTAATCCTCCGACTCTGCGGTGAAAGTGCTTCGAGCTCCCCCAAATTTTAAGCGCGGGTGTAAAATGTAAGCACTCAGCTTCCACCTAAAACGCGCTTTTAAGAGCACTGGCAACGCTTTTCTGCCGTTTAAAACTTGGGAAGATGGGAAACTTCCTCGTGTTCCTGCAGGCTGCAGCCCCGGGAGCGGAGGGACGCGAGGTGGCAGCGCTGAGCCTCTGCTCCTCGCGTGGGAAGCGCCGGGACCGCAGGGCCGGGGCAGCTCCTTCGGTCCTCTTCCTTCCTCCTACATCTTGCCCTCTGGGCCCATCGCTGTCTTCATAACCCCACTTTGGACGCTTTCTAATAATTTCATAATCCTCTTACGTTCTGGTGCCCGTGTGCAGGCATGTTTAAAATAAGTAGCTTTGTATTTAAAAAAAAAAAAAAAAAAGAAAAGAAAAAAACCAAAACCAACTAACACTTCTTATTGTTTTTAAGAAACTTTGTAATTGCAAATGATATGTTAAAGATATAAGCAGAAATAATCAGGAGGGGTTTTTGGAACCCCGCAGGTTTAGAGCTGATGGTAGCCTACTCTGTGATCCTAGGAATGTGTGAGATGACAGTGGATACTCTGTATCTGTTGCTTGTGGAAACATTACTGAAACCTGGATCAGTAGAGATTCATTGTCTCCTGCTTTTTCCTGCATAGCCACATTTCCATCACTGGGTGTCATGCCATAATTTGGTCGATTCATCTTCCTGGGCTACTCTTGTCTAGATGATGGGTCCGTTTGGATCCTGGTGCATTCTCTGGGATAGAGCCACACCTGCATCTCCCACCGTTCCTCGGATGATAGGCATTCCTTTGCCCCACTCTGCTCTCTGGCCCATGGACATGCCTGAGCTTCCCGGTGTTCTCTATATGATCTGAAACACCTCGATCCTGCACCACTGTCTTGATAGTAGGCATGCCTGGGTCTGATGTCATTCTGTTGGTAGTTGGCATGCCTGCACCCCATGCTGTCCTCTTGGTGGCTGGCAGGCTTGCTCCACACACTGTCTTCTCACTGCTTTCTGAATATGGGGCATGCCTGTGCCACACACTATTCTCTTGATGATGGGAATTCCTGTCTCCCATCCCTTTCTCAGACTAGTAAGCATGCCTCGGCCCCATGATGTTTTCTGGCTGATGCCCACACCTGTGCTTTGTGTCTCTCTCTGCTCAATCCTTGTGCATGCGCTGCTTGCCATCAGGCACATGATTGCTGGCCACTGCTCTCGTGCAGTTGTGGCTCTTGTAGCCCCTGTTCCACTTGATCTCCATGAGAGGTGGCATCCTCTGATCTGCCAGGAACCCTCTCTCTCTCACTCCACACCCAGGTGGGCAGCCACTCGCCTTCCTGCTCTGGCTCCTCTCCCCTTCACACTTGCATGTATCAGAAGGCCTGAGCTCAGCAAGTGGTGGATCAGCTGCCGATGGTGCTGTACGTATATGGTGGTGGCCATTGTAATGTCCAGAAGTCCTATGACAGTGGCTGATGGATGTGGCCAAACCTGGCTGTGTAAGGTGTGGGGACAAGGGAAACAAGGGCCCCATTCTTTGGGATGGCTCCCCTGCACCATTTTGCTGTGCAGAGAGAAAGTCTGTCCTTGGACACAGGCACTGGTCCATGCTCTCACCTGCCCAATGGACACTGCTGACTCTCATGCCTGACCAGCCTTTCAGTGAAAAACCTTTTCCTAACACCAGTCCCGACCCTCACCTGATGCAGCTCCATGCCGTTCCTTGGGGTTCTCTCCCTGCCACCAGAGTGCAGAGCTCAGTGCTGACCCTCCTTTCCCCTTGTGAGGAGCTGCAGGCAGCCAGGAGGACTCCCCTCAGCCTCCTCTGCTTTGGGCTGAAAAAGGGACCTCAGCTGTTCCTCGTACACCTTGCCTCACCATCTTCATAGCCCCCTTTGAACACTTTCTAAAGGTTTTTCCTCTTACATCACGGTGCCCAAAACTGCAGACAGTGCTTGCCCCAAAAGCATGGCCCAATGCTCAGTGTTTGAACCAGCTCCATCAGCTAAAACCTCTGGAGTACACTGAATTAACACTGCAGCTCCCTCCCCTCTCTGAAGCTGCTGGCTGCTAGTGCCCAGTCTCATTGATCTGCACCTCCTGCACTCAATGTTTTCCACACCCTCTGCTCTGTAGGTTGTGAGAAACAGTGCAGAGTCCACTCTGGATTTCTGTAAGCTTTCATTAGTCAATTAATTGGGGAAAAAAGGGTGCAGACAGGCATGGAGGTCCCCGTGGAGGCCGAATTCACCTGCGAGCAGCAAGGCGGGTGCTTCACCCAGGCACATCTTGAGCAATAGCTCAGTTGGTCACTTAGCAAAGCGAAATGAAATATTCCAGCTAATTAAAGCAATTCCCGGGACATCTTGCTTCCTGTCAGTCTGTGACAGGCATCAGCGTGGTGAAGAAAGACAGCGTCTTATATCCCTTAAAAAAAAACAAGGAGCATATTTCTGTCTGCAGCTGAAATCCATCTCTGTGACATACATTTTGCCTTGACATTCTGTGCTGCATTTTAAATAAGTGTAGGGTGGCGATTTTAGCCTTCTTGAGTTGGAAATGACAAGGCCAAACCACAAGTGCCTTTTCCACCATCTTTCCATGCCCATTTTCATACAAGGATTAACGAGGTTGATGAGATACTGGTGATAAATAAGTGGGAAGAAGCCTGGCTTTACAAATAACATGGTAATAGCATATCTATGTGATCAAAGATGAGTGTGCCTAGAGGTCAGGTGTAGACTGAGGCACTGAAGTGGGCCCTCCTTCATCCTGTGCATGAGAAGGAAACTCCACTGTGCAATTGCATCATTCACATTCATACTGCTTTTATTCAGTGCCGTTTACAAACACTTTAAACCCTCTGCTTTCTTTGTTAAGAAGAACTTTTATTGCTGAGAAGGTTATCATTTACTCAGGAGTGAAAATTTGTTGCCTAAAGTTGTATGGTGTTTTTTTCCTTTGAAAATGTACATTCCCTTACATTTCACTTAAATACACACAGACATGCATTGCTCTTGCTATGAGAACACTAGCTC